AAAAAAAAAAAAAAATAGAAGCCACTGACTATCTTTGGTTTGAGGTCACTGTAAATGCTATATTTTTCTCTAAGTCTTTGTGTGTGTATGCAAATTAGTCAATAAAAGAACATCTGAAAGTACAGCATAATCCTTAAATTGGAATTGCATTTATAAAGCCAGCAGCAACAGAGCAAGAGGAACCGAATTAGCAATTTTAAAAACTATTTTAAAAGAGATACTCCCCGCACTCATCAAAATGGTTAATAAAGAAAAACGTACAAGATATGTGAATTTACAACTAACACTAATCTTAACTTTTTATTAGAAAAACAGATGTGGAATTATAAAAATAGTCTACTTCTCATGAACACCATGGGATTATAGTTATTATATACTCCTCACTCTGTTATATCTTAGAATATCACCATCAATTCATTATAATAATTTTCCTTAATAAGTGTGTAATTTTTTAAAATCTTAAAGTCACTTTCTATAGTCCCTAAGACTAAGGGATCATTAAATTAGAAGATTTCCACAAAACTGTTTTAGACTAAAATTAAAATACGACACAATGGAACAAGAATTATATTTTTCTAGGTCTCTGATAATTTCAAAATATGACTCTTTCACATGAGAGGTAACAAAAACTAAAAAGTAAAAGACTAGGGGCGGCCGGCCAGCTCAGTTGGTTATAGCGCAGTGCTCGTAACACCAGGGTTGCTGGTTAGATCCCCCCATGGGCCACTGGGCAGCGCCCTCCACAACTAGATCGAAACAACTACTTGACTTGGAGCTGGTGGGTCCTGGAAAAACACACTGTTCCCCAATTTTAAAAAAAGTTAAAAAAAAAAAGTAAATAACTAACTAGATTTAATTGATTGCTTTCTCAACCAGGCAGCCTCTGTAATTTTCAATAGAATGCAACTTTTCAAAGACCTGTTAATGAACTCACCTGCTCTGTCCAACATAACTGGCATGGCAGACTCAGGATCCTCTAATTCTCTGGCATCTACTGAAAGTGTCTCGACACCTTCACTGAGTGAGTCCACAGACTCAGCATCATTGATGGCACCGTTGACATGGTAACCATTAATACCACCTTTCTCTGAAGAAGGTAAAGATTGCTCCTCTTGAATGGAAACCGATTTACTGGAATCTGGGATACTGTTACTTGTTTCTGCTGCAGGTTTTGGTTTGCTTTTCTTCTTTTTGTTCTAATGGTTAAAGATTTGAGGGGGGGGAAAAAAAGGAAGAAAGTAACTCCCCCACCCCTGAGAGGTAACTGACGCTACCCAAAGGCAACCAATGTTACTATTTCTTATATGCTCTTCCAGAAATTGTACACATTTCTATATATGTTGAACTACTGACTACAATAACTATGTAAAATACTTTGGATAAACTCAAACACACAAATATTAGAAATGTGTGCACAGCAAAACCCACCATAAGCAAAATTGAAAGATAAATTATAAAATGTGAAAAAATATGTTGCAACTTATATACAAAGAGCTAAATATATAGAGAGCTCTAACATAAAACCAACAAAACAATAACCCAATAGAAAAAATTATATAGGATATAAACATGAAATGAAATGCAACCTCAGTCTAGTAAGAGACATAAATTAAAATTGCACTGCAGAGGATTCTAGGAGGATGGCAAAGGAGGAAGCCTCAGGAAACTGCCTCTCCACCTAGCCTACTGTAAATGTGCTCAGAACACTTACATTAGCCTACAGCTGGGCAAAATCATCTAACACAATGAATACACTGTAGAGTATCTATCAGTTGTTCACCCTCATAATTATATACATGGTGACTGAGAGCTGCAACTGCCCAGTATCACGAGAGTATCACACCACACATTGCTAGCATGGGAAAAGATAAAAATTCGAAGTATGGTTTCTACTGAATAACTACTGCTTTTGCACAAAGTCAAAAAATCGTAAGTCAAACCATCATAAGTTAGGAACCATCTGTACAACATACCAAAACTTATGGGATACAGTGAAAATGGTGTTAAGGGGGGAATTTATAGTTAGAAATGTCTACATTAAAAAACAAGAAAGAGGGCCGGCC